CCTTTTTTTTTTTTTTTAAAATTTTTTAAAATATTTTTTTTTTCAATAAGATTTGTTTTCCCCCTGGGGGAGCGGGCACACGGGGTACGGGAGGAATGAGCAGCGGGCTGGTGCTGCGCACCCCGCTCCCCGAGGACGCCTCGGCGTTTACGCCACTGAAGCCCGTCACCATGTCGGGGGAACCCGGCGAAGACACCCCTGTCTTTGAGGACATCAAAGCCCCTGCCCGGCCCCTGGAAAACCCGCCCGACCTGGCGCAGGTAAGGCGGAGGCCAGCGGTTTGCCGTGGGGCAGCAGGAAGGGGCCAAGCTTCGCCTGCTCAGGTGCACGGAGACTGCTAATGCCTCCTACGAACGCAAGCATGGGTTTTGACTTAGAATTCTGCTTTGTTTTTCTGCTCCTTGCTAAAACACCTCCGTTGCTTTGTACGCTCGTGCTTCCCCCTCCGCCAGATTTTCTCTTGGGCGTGTTGGGTTTCATTTTTTTTTTTTTTTTTTCCTCTTGCCTTTCTTCGAAACGCCCTGTCTCCCGTTTTGGAGGAGAGTCTGGGTTTTGCTCACTCTCCACAGTCGGGGCTCGGTTCCTCTCCCCCAGGGCTGGCAGGTGAGGGGGTGAGGAGGGGCTCTGTGCTGCAGCCAGATCCCTGGGAAGGACATGGGCAACAGGATCACTGTACCTGCGTGATGGGGGGGCAGGGGAACAGGAGGTTATTTTCTATTTTATTTTATTATATTTATTTTTTCCACTGCCATGGCGGGGAAGGAGTGCTCCTTGAAACTCCCTGGCGGCATCCCCCCTGTGCACACTGTAGATAAAGATCCGGATAAGCTGTTTTGGGGTGTTGCTGAACGTGTGTCCCTCTTGTGCATGCACCCTTCTTGCATGCCCACCCCGGTTCTGGGCCACGGCAGAAGCACGTTCAAGCCCTGCTGCCCATCCCAGGCAAGGGGGCAAGGCTCCTTGACAGTGTTTTGGGTGCCGGACCCCTTGTTCCACCATGAAGAGCCTTCAGCTGCTCTTTCTGGTGGGAAAGGGGGTGGGTCAGGCCTGCTCCCACCCTTCTGCTGCAGTTTTGGCCTCTTTTCCCCCCGGGAGGAATGGGGCAAGCTGGGGCATGGGGTGCCCAGCTCTGCCAGCGGCTAATGATTAACCTCGCGCCCCACGTCTCCAGCGCCATTTTGATCAGGATGGGAGGGCGGCTCCGGCCCCTCTCTCCACGGCTGCCCTGCAGGGATCCCCTTGTCCTGGTCACCATTCCTCTGGGGACCCCTGGGAGGGCATCCCTGTGGTGGGTGGCTACGGTATGGCATGGGGCAGGGGTTGGGGCTGTGTATCCACTGCCTGCTTCCCCTCTTCCCGCGGCACTGATGCCCCAGGGGCCAGTTTTGGGGCTCCGTCCTTCAAAGGGAGGTGGGGAGATGAAGGCAGCGTCTCCATTGCTGTACTTCCATATGACACCCTGGCGATCTGGCATCCACAGCAGCCACACAAGCGGAGGTCACAAATTTGAGGGTCAAAATGGGGGGAGAAGGCTGTGCAGCCCGCTCCTCCTTCCTCTGCAGTGGCCCCGGCTCGGTGCTTCTCCCCATAACCCCAAAGCCCCTGCCTCTCTGTGCTGGCTTTGGGTGATTTATCTGAAGTCGGAGGGTCTGGTGGTAGCTCTTCAGAAAGGTGTGGGTTATCTCTGGGGCCTGTCCCCGGTGGGAAAGGGCAGCAGCTCCCTGTCTGGTCTGGGGAGAGGGCGAGGTTTGCTTTCTCTCTGCCTCTGTAGTCCAGGCTGCTGAGTGGGATTAGGCAGTAGGGCTGGTGCTCGCCCCACACCTCGGCCATGATCATGGGGGCAGATGGCCAGTGGTGCCTTCTGTGCCACCTCTCATCCTCCTTGTGGGGGATGTGGGGATGCAGAGCCCACCCACGGTTCAAACACCTTCATCCCACAACACTATCCTCACTGCCCTTTAAAGGGAAGAAGAGTTTCCCACCCTGTTTGGTCCCTGTGGCCATGCCACCCCACTGCTGGTTTGCTCCAGGGTGGAGGCAGCTGAGGGGGGGGCCTCGGGGGTGGCCGATCAGAGATATCCCTTTGCCATAAGCCCATCCTGTGTCCCTTTATGGACAATGAGTTCCCTGGAACAGGGGCTGGAAAGCTGCAGGGCTGGAGCTGAGTACCAGCACACCCATGCTCCGTGCATCACCCACTCAGCCCCCCACAGCCGTCTCTGGGCTCCTTTGCAAACCCACCCAGGGTGAAGCGTTATGGGTGGCAAAACTCTCACAGCCCAGGGCTGGACCCCACATCTACCAGGGAGGAGTTTTCCATGTGCTGGCCCCTTTTCTCTTAACAAATGCCAAAGACTGTGGTCGTTGTAGAAGAGATGCTGAAGAAACTGCCGTAGCTGGAGGGTGGAAAAGCTGGATGGCTGCACGTCGGGAGGGTGTTTATAAGAGCAGTTTGACAAGACTTATGGAAAAGGCTATGACCTGTCAGAGCTCTGGCACTGGCTCTCACCCACGGGGCATTTCCCGCTGCTCCAACTCTCCTGACTTCTGTCTCACTGATCTCAGGTAAAGAAAGGAGCAAACTCACAGCTAATCTCTTTATCTTGCTGGTTGTGACCGCTGCCCGGAACGCTATGCAGGGCAACAGCGATTCTCGTCCTCCGTGCTTGCTTTTTCTCAGAATGGGGCTTGGTGAGCGTTTTCGGC